TACATTATTGTTACCATTTGCCTTCCTTGACAAGTGGGCGTGGCCGTCTGGGGGAGCCCGTGCCCGCCGCCTCGGCGATTGTGGAGGGCAACTGCATTGGTGAAAAGGCAACGCTTTAAAAAAATGTGTATGTAATAATTGTTTTTACTCCTCCTTCTTTCTTTTTTTTTTTTCATGAGTTTGTGGGGCCACTTTCGCCTCGAAAAATAAAGAAATTTTCTGTCGAGACGAATGGACCCCAACGCCTTCTCGTCGTCCTTCGACGCGATTGAGGCACTGAGCAACACGGAGGGGCCGAGACGCAACATCCTGGAGCCCAAATTCACGGCGAGGGAACAAATGCAGGCGCTGCGGGAGTCTGTGCGGAATGCGTACAAGGAGTCTCCTTCACAGGCGGCGATGAGCCAGCTCTGCCGGTGCTATGTGTTCATTGGTCTGAACATGTTAGAGACCGATGAAGAGGCGGAAGGGGTGCAGGAAATTTGCAAAGCGTACACATTGACCCTCTCCGGGGCGAAGCGGGAGTTGCTTGCCGATGTTGTGGATATTGCGCCCCAGCCACTGGAGGAAATCCTCAGGAATGAGGTCCCGTTTGTGACGGCTGAAAATGAGTACGCGTTTGCCACGGAGTTTATGCGCGTGCACAATGCGTTGGGGTTGTATCTATCGAACCGCAATGTGGACCTGCGCATCAACGACGCGAAACAGGTTCTTCTTGTGGCAGAGAAGGCGTATAAGGACTGGAGTGTTTGGTTTCAGTCTCGGCCCGGGTCTTGCCTCATGAAGGACATTCCCGTGTTAGACAACGGCACACTTGACCGAGCAAGCATCGCACCTGACGCGCTATCCATGTGCACGGCCCGGTTTGAAATGGATACGGCGTATACGTCCACGCTATTTTTCTTGGCCCAGGTTTACACGGCATGCCAGATGGCACCCCTGGCCTCACGGTATTGTCATCACACGTTGTACCATCAGCTGCTAAATAAAATGGAGTTTTCCAAGAAGGATTGGGCCACAAACGCCTTGCACCTCAGTGCATTTTATAGCAGTTGTTTTGACTACGGTAAGGCGTTACATTGCCTTCAGGCCGGGGAGTACATTATGCCGAAGGAAAATGCAAACGAGGAAACGCTTGGGATTGTGGCGTGGGCCTTTGGGAAATTTTATTTACATCGGCTACATTACTACGCGAATGTGGGGCAGCAGTGTGCGCCGCGAGGCCATTTACCAGACGGGTTTGAAGAATGGTGGGTTGATTTTCCTATTGATATTCCGCCACCGCAGCCGCTCCCGGCGATTGAGACCTTTGAGGAGGCGCGTGAGTGCTTCAAGGAGGCCAATGCCTGGTTTAACAAGGCGCTCGAGTATTACTTGTACGATGGTTGCTGCACGGAGCACATTGATATTGTCAAGGATATTGCGCAGCTGTACGCGGCACTCATTCCTTTTGAGACGAATCGTGGCCGCGTCATCGCCATGCATCAACGACGCGTGGCGCTGATTGAACCATTTCCCGGTGACTTGAACTTTAACGCCTACCCCACGCTTGTCCGTCAGTTGCTCTTTGACCTGGGGGCCATGCATGAGGAGCTACTAGAGCTCTACATTCAGCAGAAGGAAAACCCCATGGAAGGGGAAAAACCGTTGTCGGACAAGAAATTAAATGCATTCACGGACAAGACGCAGAGCTTCTACACACGCTTCTGTGACACATGGAAGGATCCAAAGGAGAATAAGCTTCCAGAGACGCTGGACGCAGATTCTAGGCTGCCTTTCTTCCGGGCGCTGATGCGACTGGCACACTTGCAGACGAAGCGCTACTACAAGAATCCAAAAGACGAATACGACAACATCTCTGTTAGTATTGTGAGGTTTAAAAGGGTCCTCGATTTTGCGGCTAGTAACCCCATGAAGGAAGAGGCCGAAGTGGAGGTGAAGTTGGCTCGCGAGATGCTGGTTCTCCTGCCCACGAAGCAGAACGACTTGTGGCGAGTATACCACAACACTGTCGAATGAAGCCCGGCCCTTTTTTTTTTTTCGGTTGTTGTTGAAAGGTATGCTACTCGGTTTTGCATTAATCGCTGCTACTTTTGTGTGTGTGTGTGTGATATATATATATGAGTACGCACCATAAAAGTTCCTTCATTTTTTCAAAGCTTTATTTCAGGTTTTTCCCTGTTTGTTTATTTTTTTTCTCTTTTTTTTTTTTGCCTTTCTCTTCTCATGCCAAATGCGTTGCACTCTTCTCGCAAGGATGTGAGGGCGGTCTCCGCTGCGTGGGAAGTACGGTGGGTGGTGAGAGAGGGGGGTGGCGCATGGCAAGTCCGCACGGCGCCGCAGAGCGGCCGTCGTTGCCCCTGCGCGAGGGAGAGAACTTGCGGCCTCAGCGGGCGGGGAGGATGACGCCGTACGAGGAGGCTCAGTTCGAGGCCGCCGTGCGCATTCGCCGCATACGGGAGTTGGTGACGCAGCTGGATGGGATGCCCCCAGACGCAACCCGGACGTCTCGCGTCGAGCTGAGCCAGCAGATCCGCAAGGAGGAGCGGCAGGCCAAGGTGGAGATGCAGAAGGCACGGAGGCTGTCACTGAGCGAGGGGCGGAAGCTGGACTTCGCGTTGTTGTCCCATCACTTCAACGGGACGCTGGATCTGGTGCGGCAGCGCTACGGCGAGGGGATTCCTGTTGCGAAGCCAAGTGGCACCGCCGGCGCAACCGCCTCACTTGCCTCCGCGGACTGGGAGCACGCCGTGAACCAGAGCGCCTTCGTGGGCGCCGGGCCCGGCAACGTTGCGTCAAGTCCCGGCAGTGCCTACAACCTCCGTGACGACGTGGAGTTCCTACAGTTTTTTCAAGACACGCAAAAAAATGACGCGGTCATCGACGCTTCGCTGGATCGCATCCACGTCGGTGTGCAGCGCCTCAACGAAAACGCGACGCACATCACCTCTGAGCTCGGGGCGCAAGAGCAGATGCTGGAGGAGACGGAGCGGAAGATGGACGATGTCCATGGCAACTTGGGCAAAATGAATGTGAAGCTAAAGAAGACGCTGGAAAAGGTGGGTCGTCCCATGATGACCGTATACCTTGTTTGCTGCCTTATCCTCGCGGCTATTATCGTTGTAATATATTTTATGGCAAAAAACTGACTTATCGACGGTTGACCGCCCCGCATCCCCCCCGTGGCGCGGATTGCGCGCACAGGCGCCGTAGACCGCACGGCATTTGCCTCGCTTCGTCCGCAGTCGAGCGCAGTGGCCCTCCCTGTGGAGGCGGTCATGTGCTCCTCGTGAAGTTGGATCCCAACCATTGCCGGTTGTTGCTGCTGTTGTTGCTTCTTTCTTTTTCTTTACGTTTTTTATTACTATTTATTTTTTTTGCTTTTTTGTCGTTGCTTTGCGCCTCTTTCTTTATTGATGGAAGCAGCGGAAAAGGGTGGGTGCGGGGAGGAAGAAAAAAAGGACGCACACACACACACACCGTCATGTCGGGAAGTCTCGAGGAGGACTTCACGAAGGCAGCGACTCTCGTGCGTGAGGGAGGTCACATTGACGCCGTTGGCGTGTATGCCGCAATTGCCGAGGACACTCGCGCCACAACGGCGCAAAAGGTACGGGCATACTCCAATATGAGTGCGTGCCTTGCGGCGCGCGATCAGTTTTCAGAGGCTCTCGATGCCGCTAAAAAGGCACTAGTGTTAGATGAGCAGAATAGCAAAGTACATGGGCGTGTGGCCACAGCATATCATGGGATGAAGCACTATGAGGAGGCCGCGCAGCACTACAGTCGCGCGCACACGTTGGAGCCGACGAACACTCTCTACCTGGAGCAGCATCGGGCTGTGCTGGAGCTCATACGCAGCGGCAAAGGCATTGCCTCACAGGAGACGAAGGATGCGTACTACTATTGTAGGGGCGTTGAACAAGGGAAGGAGGCCATGGGAAAGGGCGAATACCTGAGTGCTGTGAGACACTTTTCGAAGGCAATTGAGCTGCACCCACGGTGTGCCACAGGTGCCAGTGGTGGTGAAGCCAAGCGTGGGGACCCTACTGGTGGCAGCAGTAGCAAGTCTGCTGAGTTAGCGGTATTGTACTGTAATCGGAGTGCGGCCTATAGTCGGGCAGGCCGCTATGCCGAGTCACTGGAAGACGGAATGAAGGCTGTGGAGGTGAATCCCATGTACGCAAGAGCCTTCTTTCGCATTGCCCACGCGCAGCATCAGTTAAAACACCCGCACGAGGCATACACGGCGCTGCGCCGATGCCTGGAGTTGAACCCAAATTACGATGAGGCCAAGGCCTTGATGGTCGAGGTGGAACAGGTGGTGGCGGAGCTGCAGAAAACAACTGAGGAAAAGCAGCGCGAGAAGGAGGAGCAGGTGCAAAAGATTCGTGAGCTGCAAAGTGCAGAGAGGGTGACCGAGACCGCGGGTGTACCTGCGGGTTACCGCGGCCGTGCGCATGCGACGTCGTACATGCACTGCAGCTATTGTAACGAGGCTGGCCACTCCCGTGCGGAGTGTCCGCTGCTGCGCCGTAAGCGTTCTCGTACATAGTCAATTCCACCGTGTGAAGCATCACGATTTTGGTCTTGTGCCTTTTCGTTTCCGAGTAAATGGAGAAGAGGGAGTGGTGTTTGGGGGGTGGGCGACGCTGCTTTGCTTTGTTTGTTTATATTTTTGTTATTATTCTTGGACTTATGCCGGGGGGGGGGAGTGTGAGAACAAATGAGGCGTGGAGTGCGAACGGTGATTGCTCCAAGAGAAGCGGGAGCGGGTGGCGAAGCAGTCCCACAAGTCGGGCCTTGGCCCCCTCCCCCTGCGGCTGCGGCTGCTGTGTTGCCCTCGTCCGCCCACCCCTCGATCTTCCCGTGCGTTATCACGCTCACCGTCGCTGTGAGCGGTGGGGCGGACGAAGGAAAAGGAGCGAAGGTATAGAAACCGGCAAAATAAGGCGCATGGAGAGGGAAGAGAGAGAAGGAGAAGGAGGGGGGCGAGAGCCGTGCAAGGAGACCAATGGGGATTCGCAAGGCGAGGCGGAGAGTGTGAGCACGGCGGACCTGCGTGCGGTGGCCAAGGAGTTGTTTGCCTCTGCGAAAAAGCACCTCTCTGAGCCTTTCTGCGAGGTGGAGCTGCGGCTGTGCCGCTTCGCCGAGGAGGCGGCGGCGGGAGGAGGAGGAGGAGGCACTTCTTGCGAAGATGCCGCTGGAGAGAAGGGCAGACAGCTCAAGGGGCTGCGGATAGTCGATGCAAAGTTTGCGGCGTCTGTCGCTGCGCGGGATTTCGAGCGAATCAAGGCGCATCTCACGACGGAAATGAAAGATTGTTCCCCGACTCGATCCGTGACGCGCGACGTGGTTGTGCGTGGGTGGCGCCATACGTACGCCACTGGTGAGGACGGCAAACCCACCCACTGCGTCGCATGTGTGCGGAAGAAGCGTTTGCTCGTCAAGAACATTTTAGTCCCACTGGGCGCGTATAATCTTCGCTTTGCCGTCTCCACAGAGACCCCAGGGCGTCTGCCTCGCGCGCACGCCGCTGCCCACGTCGGCCACACGCGTCTAAAGGACCGGCTTAGCATCACGGATGGGCTGTTCCGCTACGACCTGACGCGGGTGACGGAGAAGGGGGCGCTGGGGCACGAGGTGGAGATTGAGGGAGTCTTCGCATCCGGCACGGCGCAGTTGACGGAGTCGTGGCTGGAGGACCTCCTTAGGAGGGCCATTGCACTCACAAAACTCCCAACGAGGGCGGAGGTGAAGCCGCCTACGCAGCGCGCGTTGTATAAGCGGCGTCGCAGTGTAAGTTGATGTGGGTGGCGCTGTAGAGGCCACGCCGCCTCGTTGACCCCCGCCGCCGTTGCCCTTCCGCCTTCCGCTCTCGCTGTAGGAGGAGCTGCGTCGAGACACAAGAGCGAAAGACGAAGGAGGAAGATGAAGAGGAGTGAGCCTATAGGACGGCTCTCCGTCTGTTTATACATGTATATATATATATTCCCTTTCTTGTTGTTTCTCATTGTCATGTATGTCTCTCTTTCTTTCTTTCTTTCTTTCTTTCTTGTCGTTGTGGTTTCTCTCGCATCCACCGGCGAAGTGCCAGTTTCCAGGCAGAGATGATGCGGAAAACGCCGCTGTTTGCCCTGGCCGCCACCCGCAAGGCGTTGGTTGGCAACGGCCCCACCTTCTCCACCGGCGGTGAGTGCATGAACACGTGCGACATCCAGAACGCTTTCCCAATGAACGAGCGTGGTGTGCGCTCCTCGTCCCCGTTCCAGGAGCCCAACACCGCCATCTATGACACCTACATGGCATGGACGTACTTTCAACCGATGGACGTGGACGTTGTGAAGATTCCGGCGCCGGAGGCGAAGTACTACCAGCGACTCACGAAGAAGCCGTGGGATATCTCCACGACCGAGCTGATTGAGATCCAGTCGCGCAAGAAGTACTTCCAGGTGTGGGGCTACCTCATTGCCTTCATCTACCTGTACTTCCTGATGCCCAAGGAGAAGTCGTTCAGCGGCCTGCATGGACCCGACGGCCACTGGATTATGCTGCCGAAGTCTAGGCCAGAGCTGTTCTAGGCGTCGCGCTGTTAAAGCCGCATTAGCACGTAGGAGTAGGGAGTGTTGCAAGACATCCACGCACTTCTGCATACCTCTTTCAAGCACGCGCCTGTCTGACAACGAAGCGGAGGGGGGCAGAAGCTAGCGTGTGAGCAGAGTGATGAACTTCTCTGGCACGGTGATGTCTGTATGTCTGTCTGTCTGTCTGTCTCTGTGTGTAGTTGTCATTTAGCAGCAGCAACGGCTGCTGAGGAGGAGGATGCAAAGAAAGCAGTGAAAGTGCGAGGTGTGAGATGAACCAATGAATGAAGAGGATGCAGGGAATACGGTTGTGTGTTTTGTTCGAGGGGTCTGACAAGTCGAATCTGTCGACAACACGACCATATCCTATCATCTCTCTCTCCCTCTCTCTTTCTCTCTTCGTTGTTTTGTGCAACTTTGCTGCCATCGTCTCGTTTGGCGTGGGCGGGGGTTTGTGGGCTCAGGCAGACACACCCAAGAGGTAGGGAGTGTGTGTGCGTGTGTGTGGAGGGAGCGGGGCGAAGCCCCTGCAGAGGCAAAGCAAGCGAGGCCAAGGGTGCCGAGGGTGTGGTGGAGTGAACACGCGCGTTGAAGGCGGGAGCGTGAGGGGTTGTGTGCCAGAGTTAGAGTACGTACCTAAGCAACTAAGTACATATACATATATATATATATCCTACTTTTCTTCCTACAGGCGGCCCGTTCAGACTTCACATGAGTCTTGAGGCCACCGCGTCCCTGCAGCGCCTCGCTGAGAGGCCCGAGCGCACCCGCAACTTCTGCATGGTGGCGCACGTGGATCACGGCAAGACCACGCTTAGCGACTACCTGGTTGCGAGCAACGGCATCCTCTCCCCGCAGCTCGCTGGCGAGGTTCGGCTGCTCGACTCCCGCCCAGACGAGCAGGAGCGGTGTATCACGATGAAGGCCAGCTCCATCGCGCTGCGGCACGTCTACAAGGGGGCGGAGCATCTTTTGAATCTTGTGGATTCGCCTGGACACATCGATTTCTCGTGTGAGGTGTCCACGGCGATGCGGCTGTGCGACGGCGCCGTCATCCTTGTCGACGTGGTGGACGGTGTGACCCAGCAGACAAGTAGCATGCTGCGCCACGCCCATCGCGAGGGTCTGTCGATGTGCCTCGTGCTCAACAAGGTGGATCTGCTAATTACTGTGCAGCAGCTCACCCCGGAGGAGGCGTACTACCGAATGCGTGCCATTGTGGAATCCTGCAACGCCGCACTCGCCGCATTTGCCAACCAACTCAAGATTCAGGAGGAGGGGGAGACGCTCATGCATCAAGATCGTGGGGACCCCAGCGACGACGTATGGTTCTGCCCCACAAAAGGCAACGTGATATTCTGCAGCTGCTACGATGGATGGGCCTTCAGTACCAACGTTTTCGCCTCTCTCTACGAGAGCAAATTGGGGATGACCAACATGCACACGACGCTCTGGGGAGATTACTACATTGACGCCAAAACAAGGACTGCACATCCAACTCCACGGCGAGCCGGACAGCAGCCGCTGGCGGTGCAATTGATGCTGGAACCTGTTTGGCAGCTGTACCGCACCTTTCTCGGCGAGGAGGGTAATGTGGAGCAGCAGTTACGCATGGCCGCCAGGTTGGGGGTTCCAGAGCGCCTGTGGAATAACCCGCGACGGGACCAGCGAGGGAAATTAAAGGCGTTGCTGTCTTCGTGGCTTCCGCTTGCGAATTGTGTCCTAGGTGTTGTTTGTGAGAAATTAGATTCCCCCGTTATGGCGCAACGTCGTCGACTGCCCTTTCTCATTCCACGATTTGCTGAGACTCCGACGCACGTAAAAGAGGCACTGATGAGTTGCACGACCAGCCCCGATGCCCCCTGCGTTGTGTATGTGTGCAAGCTCATTGACACGCAGTTTCTTGTAGGCACAACGATTGGACAAGAGGAGGAAAGGGACAACGCATTCGTTGGCTTTGCTCGTGTCTACAGTGGTCGCCTTCGACCCGGTCAAAGAGTGTACGTCCACAGCGATGACAAGGTTGTGGAGGAGACTGTGAAAAAGGTGTTTCTTTTTCGCGGCACAGGCCTGGATGAGGCGACGGAGGCTTGCAGCGGGACCCTGTGCGGCGTCGGAGGTCTCACCGCCTGCATCACAAAGTACGCCACACTTTCCACGGTGGATGGGGTTCCGCCGTTTAAGCCCCTCGTGCTGCCGAGTACGTCCATCCTGCGCGCCTCCGTCTACCCAAAGGACCCGAAGGACCACCTCGAGTTGGTGCGGGGGCTACGGCTGCTGTACAGGGTTGACCCGCAGGTGGAGGTGAGCATCCTCCCGACGGGGGAGCACGTGATTGGCACCGCCGGAGAGGTCCACCTGGAGCGCTGCTTAAAAGATCTTGAGGATTCCTTTGCGCGTGTGCAGATCTTGGCGTCTGAGCCGATTGTCTCGTTTCGCGAGACTCTCGCGACCGGTGGTGCGAATATGAAGCCCAAGATGCACACAGGCTCAACCGCTGATGGTGCCTTCTCCATCACGCTGCACGCGCGTTGTCTGCCGCCGGAGGTGTTCGACGTGCTGAAGGATGACTGCGTGAATCACGGCTCCAACACGCGGGTGCTTCGGCAGGTGGAGACCGCATTAAAGGCAAACAAGCGTTGGGCAGCAGAGATGCAGCACGGGATTGTTGCCTCGGGTCCGACAAAGCTGAAGTTTATTGGCGCGCTCATGCTGCTGCATCTTGGCGACGAGGATGCCGCAGCGCAGAAATTTGAGCTCTTTAAGGCCTGGAAGGACAGCATCGTAGCGGGGTTCCAGGCGGCGGCAGAGAGTGGCCCCATGGCACAGGAGCCCTTGCTGAACGTCGCATTTGTCATCACCGATCTCGCGGTGAACGCCGCCTCCGGCCTGACAGGTGGGATGGTGCTGCCGTGCGTCCGTGACGCCTGCCGTGCGGCGATGGAGCTGCACCCACGGCGTCTCGTGGAGCCTATCTATGAGTGTACGGTGTACTCCTTTGGTGCGACGCAGGGGAAAATTTACGGCTCTCTCAGCCGTCGTCGCGCGGAGATTATTGAAGAGGTGCCTAACGAAGGCAGTGACCTCTTCTACATCCGTTGCCTGCTGCCAGCCGTGGAGGCGTTTGGACTGCAGGACGAGCTGCGCGTCGCGACGCAGGGGGCCTCGACGGCGCAGCTCCAAATGAGTCTGTGGGGCGTCGTGGACGCGGACCCGTACTTCACACCCACAACGAAGGAGGAGATTGAGGAGTACGGCGCCGAGGTGGGGACGAAGAACATCGCGGAGCAGCTGTTGGAGCGCATTCGCCGCCGCAAAGGGCTCCACCGCGAGCGGGTTGTTGAAAATGCGGAAAAACAGAAATTTTCTCTCAAGGGGGCCTGAAGGGTGCGCGCCGCCAGAATGGCAACGAGAGGATGCGGGGGAGTAAAGGCACTGCCACGTATTTTGGGGCAGCGGCGCCGTTTATTCTACTTCAATTACGATACAAAGAAACGAAAAATGCGTGTAAAAACGAACCGTGACGAGACGTAACGAAGTAAGACGAATACCGGAGTTCATACATCCGTTGCTTCTTCTGTTGTTTCTTCTTTTTTTTTTTTTCGTTACTTGCTTTATTGGGTTTCTTTCTGTCCCCGACTGTTTTCTCTCCCGTTCCTGTTCTTCCGTCTCGCGCTGCCGGAAGCAGGTGGTGGGATGGACCCACCGTGTTGGCTGTGTGCGACAACGGGAGAAACGTGGCAATGGCGACACCGGCGCGATTTCACGTCGGGCCGGCGGCGTCGTTTAGAGAACGCAGCCGGCAATTGGTGAAATGCGACGAACGCAACGTCGTCGTGTTTCGCTACAAGGAACGCTTCTACGCGCTCGACAACGCCTGCTACCACCACGGTGGGCCGCTGCTGGAGGGCGACATTGAGGAGATGGGCGGGCACCCGTGCGTCGTGTGCCCGTGGCACCAGTACCGCATCACCCTCGACACCGGCGAGGGGCTCTACTGGGCCCTGCAGATGACGCCGGCGGGAGTGCCGGACAAGACGGCCCCACAGAAGGTCTGTTCCAAGGGGCGGAAGCAGCGCACCCACGCCGTGACTCTGGAGGGCGGGGAGGTGTTCGTGACGCTGAACCAATCGGAGCCGCGGCTGGAGAGTGACGGATACGCCGAAATGGCCATCGCGAACAGGGAGGAGGCGATGGCTTCCCCCTTGGAGGACGCGCGACGGAGAGGTCATCAAAGTATGGGCGGGTTTAGCCTGGGGCTGCACAGTGACTGCCGCAGCGGACAAGTTCTCGCAAAGCTGGCGGCTGGGGCAAAACTGCGACCACCCACCCTCGCCGATCGCCCAGTTCTGACGTGTGTCCGAGTTGAGCCTGTTTGCGACAATACTCAAGAGTTCTACCTTAAGCTCTCGCAAGGGGGGCTTGACGCCAGCTCCCTGGTGCCAGGACAGTTCGTTGACCTGGAGCTCCCCATCGCGGCGCCTCCCGGTAGGCGTTTCGTGCGGCGGTGGACTGTTGTCGAGCTGAACAGGAAAGGATGCCTCTTCACCCTCATCATCAAGGCAGCAGCACGGTGTGATTGTGGGACGGCGTGGATGGCAAAGAATGCCCTGCGTCAAAGGTTTCCGCTACTTCACCACGGTGGGAGTTTCACCTTGACGCATCATATGAGCCGCCTGCGTGAGCTTGAGGGACGCGTTGTGATGCTTTCTGCGGGGATCGCCATGACGGCGCCCTACGCTTCGCTTCGTTATCACTTTGAGGGTAAGCGTCTGCCGGAGTTCCCGAAACTTCAGGTCATTCATCTTCACGTGGAGCGGAGCGTCTCTTGCGTGGCAAGGTTGGAGGATTTTCTGCGGTGGCACCACACCCAAGCAGAGCACTTTACCTATCGTTTTTCTTGCTTCCTCACAAGGCAGCGGGAGCTGTCGGCAAATTCCTCCGGAGAGGCGTCGTTGCGGTTGCTCGCCACATGCGGTCGGAGGCCCGATGAGGCGGATATTCGGCGCTTTTTAGGCGATTTTGTGAGGCCGTCATCTCCCGTTCTCGCCATGGTGTGCGGGCCTCCCGCGTTTGTGGGGCTGGGGAAGCGTGTCTTGTTGGCCGCTGGCGTCCTGCCCGCGGATGTATTGACGGACGAGGACGAGGATGATGGGTACAACTCCCTGTAGGGAGGACAACCTCCCCTCCACATCGTCAAGGTCTTCCTTCGGAGCGAGGCACGGCAGTGTGTTCCTTTTTTTTTTTTAGTCTTCTTCTCATCATTGCGGGGGTATATATATATAATATGTATATGCGTCTATGTCGTTGTATATACATCCATGCAACTTCCGCACATCGACGGCTCTTTTTTTTTTCATTGCCCCTCATTTTATTCCTGCGCCTCTTCACTGTTGTTGCGGTGGGGCTTTGTTTCCTTCGTTTATTTCCTTTTTTTTTTCTTGCTTTCTGTTCTTTGTTGTTTGACGGCTTCCGTCCTCGCAGGGTATTTTCGCTCGTCCTCGTCGCTGGGCTCGCAATGGGGGGCCGGCAAAGCACACCAGTGCCCGCGGAGGTGGCGCAGGCGGCGGCAAACGACACGAGCAACTGGGGGGTGCCGCCTGAAGACATTCCGGAGGATGAGAAGGACATGGAGGAGCTTGTGCTGCAGACGTGGGCCTTCTGCAAGGCCAAGCCCTCTCCCGCCCAGGCCTATCGTAGTGATGTGGAGGAGCGCAGGCGGCGCATCTCTGTTGCGTGGCGGAAGCGTGCCAGTTTCCTCGAGCTCGACTGCGGGGAGGACAGCTTCTTCGTGGCCAACACGTACAAAGTCATCGGCGTGGCGGACGGCGTTGGTGGCTGGCGCGATGAGGGGGTGGACCCGGCGCTCTTTTCCAACTCCCTGATGGAGAACGCCAAACTGTTTGCTGAGACCCACCGCAAGGAGTTGAACCCCGAGGTAATCCTGCAGTCCGCCTTCGACAAGGTGCTGAACGACAAGGAGGTGGAGGCGGGCAGCGCGACGGCGTGTGTGGCGACGCTGCGCAAGGGGGACACGGGAGACCACGTCCTCGACGTCGCCAACGTCGGCGACAGCGGCCTCCTCGTGGTGCGCAACCGCCAGGTGCTGCACCGCGTGCACGAAAAGGTGCACGGCTTTAACGCCCCGTTCCAGCTGGCGGTTGTGCCTCCCCACCTTCGCGGCCGCGCCTTCTCAGACAAAGTCAGCGACGCCATACGCGAGAAGGTGGGGGTGCAGAAGGGCGACGTCGTCATCGCCGCCACGGACGGCTTCTTCGACAACCAGTTCAACGCCACCATCGCCTCCGACGCCGGCTGGATCGGGAAGGTGGAGGGGAGCGCGCTCGATCGGGTGCCGCTCGTTGGCTTCGTCTTGAGCGCCGTCTTCGCGGATGAGAAGGTCGCCTACATTGACCCGCAGCGCGTGGCGCAGCGACTCGTGCAGAGCGCCTACAAGGTCTCGCTGGACCACGAGGCCCACACCCCGTGGGCCTCGATGCTGCGCAAGTTCGGCGCAGAGGACGCAAAGGGAGGTAAGACGGACGACATCACCGTCGTCTTGAGTCGCGTCACAACGCGCGATGAGCTCAGCACCAGCAACATGTGGTAGGAAGAAGGCAGAGCGGCGGGGGATGCATCCATGTGCCTGCTGCAGTGTGCGGGGTTAGAGCGGCTGTGGCGAGGATGTCTTGGGGTGATCGGGGGGAGGATGGAGAGTAGCGGTGGATGTTAGCCTACACGTGTGTGTCCGTCTGTCCGCGTGCGGCGGACAAGAAAAGTAAGTTAAGAGGGAAAACAACCAAGCAAGGGCCGTTGGACGCAGTCCGCCTTCACGCCGTTGTAGGAAGGGAGCGGGAAGGATGACGGCGGCGGGCCAGAAAGAACAGACAAATTGTTTTGTGGGGGCCCTTTGGTGTGGTAGCGACTATCGGCGGCACCTTCGTGATTTCTGCAGCATATTTGTCGTTGTGGTTGTTGTTATTATTGTTTACTCCCAACGAGGTCTTTCATTGCAACTGCGACTCACCTGCCTGACTTGCCGTTTCTCGTGCCTCTCTCTCTCTCTCTGTGTCTGTGTGTGTGTGTTCACTTCTCGCTCTCTTTCTTTCTGTGCGTGGCCGCAGTTGAGAGGGGCCTGTCTTGAGCGGCGCTCACGGCGATGGACTTTGGCAACCCCTTCGCGACGTTTTTGGGCAAGCGGGGGGCGGGGCCCGGCACGAGCCTCAAGCGACCGCGCCCCGACGAAGACACCTCGCCGGGAAGCGTGGCGGAAGCAAAGGCGTCCGCCGCGACGGTTGTGGCCGACGCCGCCTCCGCCACCGCCTCTCCAAATGCGGCCGAGTTCAGTCACGCGGAGGTAAAACTCTCCGCCGACGCGACGTTTGCGGCTCCCGCGAAGGTCGTCCTCCTCTCAGGGGACAGAGACGAGGAGGAGGAGGAGGAGCTGCGGCTGCTGCTTGGCGGCGAGCACGGCGCAACTGTGCGGCCCAAGGAGGAGACGGCGGCAGCAGCAGCAGCAGCAATAGCCGCGTCCCACGCGGGCGCACACGCTGCGACAACAGCGGCGTCTGCAGCGACTGTCGTGGCCCTCCGCGAGCTGCCGTGGATGACGCGGTCCAACGAGGCGCTGGCGGCAATCGCGGAGCGGTTTGAGGTTCAATTCCGGTGGGAATTACGGCGAAATGTGGAGCTCTTACAGATGTTTGAGCCCTTTTTCAGCGACAGGGCGATGCGCCGCATTGCGGCTGAGACGCGAGGGCCGCAGTTTCTCCCCGCGCCTGTAGCCACGCCGGAGAACACTGGGGCCGCGAATGGCTACACGCTGCGCCCGTACCAGCTTGAGGGTGTCCAGTTCTTACTAAACAACTTCCACAGAGGAACACCATGCATCCTGGCAGATGACATGGGGCTCGGCAAGACGGCACAGATCTCGGCCTTTCTGCACCTGCTCAAGACGCAGCACGCCATTGACGGCCCACACCTTATCGTCTCACCGCTCTCGACACTCACAGCCTGGACGCGGGAACTCGCGCGGTGGGCGCCAACGTTGCGTGTGGTGAAGTACCACGGCGAAAGAAAGGGACGCGCGTCACTGCGCACCACTCGGGGCTATCGCCACTGCGTCTTTGTGACAACCCCCGCTGTTCTCAATCAGGACCGCGGGTTTTTCCGAAAACGGGCATGGGTTGTGGCCGTGGTGGATGAGGCGCATGTTCTGAAGGGGCGTAATACCATAATCTCCTACGTGGCACGGAAACTCACGGCGTGCTTTCGGCTCGCCGTGACGGGTACCCCGGTACATAACAACGTGGGGGAGGTGTGGAGCCTGATGAGCTTCCTGTACCCCTCCTACTGTGCCAGCTACGACGGCGGCGTCGGCGACGGCGATGACCCCGTCACGGCGGCGGAGGACTGCGCGCGGGTGCTTCAATGCGTTATGCTGCGTCGAACAAAGGGATCTATTGAGCTTGGACTTCCGCCACGCGTAGATGAGCCCACGCGGATGCTTGCTCCTACATGCACACAGCGACGACTGCTTTCCCACATGACGGAGCAGGCGTTGAGTGGGGATGAAGCAGCCACTGGGACCCGGCTTCAGGCGCACCTCACGCATCAACGCATTGTCTGTTGTCATCCGCTGGCGTTGCGGCTGTTGGCCGTGGAGGGTCGGAGTTCGGGCCAGGCGAGTTGGGAGGAGCGTTTAGCTGCAGCGGGCATTGCCTTGAATGAGGCCTCCATCGTGGCAATGAGCGCCAAAATGGTGGAGCTGGATCGCATGCTGCGGGAGTGTAGGGCAAATGGGCACCGATGCCTAATATTTTCCAACTTTACCTCCATTTTGGATCTTCTGCAGGCACTCTGTGTGATGCGGGGTTATAGTTTTGAGCGGCTCGACGGCACCACGCCCCGTGTGGAGCGTGAGCTTTCCATGATCCGCTTTAATGCCCCCGGGTCCTCGTGTTTTGTGTTCCTCCTCACCACCACAGCTGGCGGCGTGGGTGTGACGCTGACCGGCGCCGACACTGTCATCCTCTTTGATGCGCACTACAACCCACAGATTGACCGCCAGGCCGCCGACAGGGCCCACCGCATTGGCCAGACGCGTCTCGTCCGCGTGCACCGGCTCTGCCTTCGCAACACCATTGAGGAGCGCATTCTCAACGTGGCTCTGCGAAAAGCGTCACTCGGGGACTTCATTGTAGACGGCGGGAGTTGCAAGGGGGACGACGCGGCCGGCTTGGCCCTCTCCGCGCATCAGATTCGTCTGCTGTTCAGCGCCGAGAATCAAACCACAGCTTCCTCCCGTGAACCCTCGGTCCAAATGCACAGTGTCGACGGCGACCACGACGCCTCTGTGGAGGACGCCGCGGTGGCGGAATTGTTGCGCGTCGAGGCAGAAGGGCTGCCAGGTCCCTCTGCAGCGAAGACAGAGAATCGAGATGGGCGGACTGTTGTGGGCACCACGCACAACTGCTTTGTGTGCGGGGAAATCATGCGACCGCTGGAGCCGCTGTACCACTGCGCTCTCTGCCCAAAGGCGTACCACGCCGCGTGCGCCGGCGAGCGGAGGCTGAAAGCCGGTGTGGCCGGCCCACGGCGCTGGACGTGCCCCCGCCACAGCTGCGTCTCGTGCGGTAAGGGGCAGGGCGTCGACGGAGCCGCGTTCATGTGCACAGAGTGCCCCTCGTCCTTTTGTTTTGACTGCCTCGATCCACGCTACTTTGAACTGGACGCGGCGGGGGCGCAGTTTGTTCACATTAGACGCGAGTATCCGGGGATGGAGGCGGAGGGGATGGGGCCGCGACGCTCCATCTACTACGTCACCTGCCTCCGCTGCTGCGGTGTGTTGTCCTCCTCCTCGTCGTCCTCCTCGTCCTCGTCGTCGTCCTCCTTAGATGAGACAGGCAGTGACGCCGTGAGCGACGATGAGGACGATGTTCTGCAGGAGGAGGTGAGTGCCACGCGCAGCGTGGAGGAGGTTTAATTGACATTATATATCCCACGTACGGACGCATACTATTGTGCATGGCTGTCCCAGAGCCGTCCAGGTCAAACACTCCCCTTTGTTGTTTATTGTTTAATTCCTCTTTCCTGGACCTCCTCCAGGGGACACATGCATTTGTCCATTCTCATAGATATATATATATATATATGCACGATAAGGCACTTGCCCGCATCCCCTCTTACCACGTTTTTATTTTCCTTTCCTGTCTGTGTGTCTCTTTTTCTTACGTTTGGAGGGAGGGGAAGCGGGGGGCCTAGCTTCTGTGCCCCACCTCTACTCTGGCGATATTGCGCGTGCCACGCGCCGCACCCTCTTTCCTTGGCCTTCTGCGTCTCTCTTGCAACGCCGTCGCTTGGGTGGGGAAGGGAAGGAGCATATGCACCAGGTTCGTGGGCTTGTGCAGCGGTCCTCCGCCGCAACCCTCCGTCTGCTGGAGAAGCAAGTGGCGCCACACGACGTGCGTGCGTGCTTCATAGATGCCGTCTTTGTGGACGGCGGTGGGGCGTCTTCGCCCGTTCAGCTGCTGCACCCTGTCGCGCTCCAGCAGCTGCTGGCGGAGCTGCCCAAAGCCGAGGCCCTGCAACGCCTGCAGGAGGCAAAGAAGATTGCGCTGGCGTCCGACCACGACACCACCACTCCACTTAGCGCGCTGCCTGGCAACTCCAGGCGCGTGCTCTGCGTCAAGGACACCACGCAGCGCACGGTTTCCGAGCTGCACTCGCGACAGTCCCGGTTTCTGGCGAAGGCAGAGGGGCGGGCGATGGCGCACGACCTCCGCCTCGTGGAGGCCTTCACGCAGCGGCTGCTGAGAGGCGCGGCGACACGGCAAGGCGGAGGGGACGCGTTTTTGCCCGAGGAAGCGGCGATGTACCGCGGCGTCGTGGAGGAATTAGTGCGACTCAACCCGCAGGCGGCGCTCGCGCTGGCAATGAACGCCAAACTCCCCTCGCTTGGCAGTGGCGCGAGCGCGGCGCTGGCGGCGTTGGTGAACCTCGATGCCCCGGCGGCGGCGCTGTCCTTCTTGGAGGGCTTTGCCGGCAAAGACGAGGCGGCGGCGGCGGCGTCTGAGACCTGCGCCACGCAGCTAGCGATCCGCCTACGCAACAAGTTGTGGGAGATGCGGGAGGTGAGTACGGAGGACCCGGCACGGCTGCTGCTGCGGGAGGCGCTCGCAACGGCGTGCCGCTTCAACGTTGATCCGGGTTTGGTCTTCCCCACAGATGCACGGGCAATTCAGCGCTGGAGTTCACAGTTTCTTCACACGGCGATGTGGCCCTGCGAGCGTGGCCGCGTCCTCGCCGACGTTGTGCGGAGCAAACGGCTGATGCCGCGGCGCGTCTCCCTCGACTGCCTCAGCAACTGGTGTCTGACGGACTTGGAGCGGACGTGGGTGTCGGCGCTGCTGCAGGACGGCGAGGAGGCAGGCGGGGCGCGTCGCTCCGAGACGGGCGTGCACCGCTCCGCGCTTTCGTGTGTTCTGAAGGACCCGAAACGCTGCCTCGTGGATAGCCGGCTGCTGCGGCAGTACGCGCTGCTGCTAAAACGAGGCGAGCTGGAGCCTGCGCATGCGAGTTTCCCGCACTTTCTCGAGGAGTGCGGGGAGTGCCACGGGGACGGCGAGCGTCCGGAGGAGCTGACGTTCCTACTGCCGCTGGGGCCGCGGCCGCTCATGGATGCGCTGGTGGCGCTCGCACCGCAGTGCAGTTATTGGCGCACGCTGCTGGCGGACGGGCCGGAGGGGACGGTTGAGGCGGTTCTCGCGCCTCAAGGAAACGCGCACGTGAAGGTGAAACTGCCTCGCACGCATGAGTGTGTGGAGGCGGCTATGCGGGCCGTGGGCTCCTCCTCCGCGGCCCCGTCTGCTTCCGCTGCGTCGTGTCTGCCTGTTATCTTCGAGGACGCTGACATTTTGGTGCTAAACAAACCCCCGCGCTTGGCGACCTCGCGCCACGCCCTCAGCTGCACCCAACTGGGCGACGCGGCAGCCACCGACGTGGTGTCGTTGATGCTCGTCTCCGCGAAGAACGGGGAGACGTTGCGCGGGGTCTTTCGTCAGGGCCAAGTTCACCGGCTGGACACGGATACCAGCGGATGTCTCGTGATGGCAAAGAGCGACTGCGCGGCGGACTCGCTGCGCCACCAGATGGGCACAGGCGCCGCGTACTCCCAGAGCAGCAAGGTTTACCTCGCCCTGTGCGCCGTGATGGAGCCGGAGCTCCGCCGCGTCCCGCTGCGAGGGGTGCTGCGCGACCCGTTGGACGTCAAGATCTCCACGAAGTACCGCGTCGTGCGGTTCTTCCGGCGCTCCCGCGTTGCCCTGCTGGAGTGCCGGATTCAGCAAGGCAAGCGGCACCAGATCCGGCGCCACCTGGCGGCCGCGGGGCTGCCTATACTGCAGGACGTCGAGCACGGGGGGGCCGCGTGCAGCACGCCGCTGATTGACCGCGTCGCCCTCCACGCCGCCGCGCTGACGCTCGTCCACCCGCGAACCGCCGAGGTCGTCGCGTTCGCCGCACCCATGGCGAGGGATTTCACAGAGGCCATCCGCCAGCTCGCGTGAGGCGTGGTCCAACGCGCCTGCTGGACCTTTTTTTTTTTTTCCTTCTATTCCTTTGCTTTTCTCGGTGGGTGTTGGCTGCAACGCATCGCACGCAGCAGCCGCGGAAGGAAAAAAAAAGAGAGGGAAAATGAAAGAAAATGAAGAGTGGAAAAAGAGAGAGAAAGAGACTGTGTGACGGTCCACGAACAGGAGGGAGAAAAGTGGCTGTCGAGGGAAAACTCGGGCCGTTCTGTGTTCTTCTGTTCCCTCCGCCAGTGGGGGACGGCGAGGAGTGTGTGCGCTGGGCGGCCGAACGACTTTCACTGCGTGGTCTCCTCCTCTCTCCCGCTTTTCCCCCGCAGTCGTGAGCGGCGTGGCCCAACGCGCGTAGCCGAGCGTGAGGGAGAACAGGCGGCAAAGGAACCCGCATTACGTGCGGAGGTTGAGTGGCCACCTGAGGCGGCGTCACACGGCGGGCAAGAAGGAAGGAGGAGGAAAGAGAAGGGATAGGAGGTGTGAATGCGGCTTGTGCCGCTGCTTTTCTCTCGTTGGGCCGTGAAGCCACCAAAGGCGTTGGGTGCAAAGCCGCTGTCATGCACGCAGCCGCGCGGAATACGCTGGGGCAGTGTCAGCGGGGAAAAGGCGGCCTCATCCTTTTTTGAGGTCCCCATTCAACCGTACGTTGAGGGAAGGAGGCGGTCCATGAATCAGTGCGCACCAAAGGGTCTCCCGCATGGCTTCGCGCAGCAGGGCCAACCGCCGACGCTGCGGGAATAGCAGCTGCCGCGTGCCCGCTTTTTATCTTTCTCTTTTTTTCCCCCCCCTTCCCTCTCTCTCTCGCACGCACACACGCCGAGTGGGGTGGCTCTGCCGTTGGCGGCGCAGTGTGCGGCTCCGTGCGTGCGCGTGGCGGTGTGGCTGCTTATTTGCTTGGATTTCTTCGCCGCGGTGGTGTTGAGGGTGCCGTGTTGCCGTGCGGCCGCTGCATCTGCGGTGTCTTACTCCCCCGTCTTGCTCCTTACCCACGGGACAGCACAGTGTGCGCTGTGTTCCCTCTGCGTGCAAAGGCGCGAAATACACATAACTAAAGCAGCAGACGCCGCCGCCGGCAAACAAAGATACGATGGCCGCTATCAGTGAGCTCTTTCCTAGTGGCACGTCGGGGTCCAAAGTCCTCTTGGGCATCGCAGTTCCGTGGCTGATGCTTCTGCTGTACTACCTTTACTATGTATTTAGGCGGCCGCGTGAGGTGGCGGCCTACACCATTGCCCCTTTTACACTCTTTATGAACTTGCTAACAGACGACGCGAGCGCGGGCTACGATAAACCACTTATGAGCCTGTTTCACCCGGATTTGCTGGCGGAGGTGGAGCGTGGCCTGATTCGGGCCATGGCGCGCTGCCTCTGCAAACGTTTCGGTAAGGTTGTGCACATCCCCCGCGACACGGTCATGCTTAGGAGCCGGGGCGATGATGTAAACTTCGTGGCCCTCGTAGACTTTCAGCACGCCAGGCGGGTAAAATGCCGCATGTCGTGGCGGTGGTGCTCCTCCCGGGATGCCTACTTCGTCAAGACCGGCACCCAACGACACTTCCAGGTCACCGGCTTTCGTGTGGAGCCACAGTCGATGGATCAGTTCGACGTCCTGGAGTTCCTGCACACGGAGGACTTTGTGCCCTTCGCGGAGTCGTTTGTGGAGAAGTTGTTTGCGCGGCCGCCAAAGGCGGCGGTGATGATGATGGTGCCGCCGCTGCAGGAGCGCTACCTGGCGGGGCTGGAGAAGCTGCAGAGCAGCATCCAACGCGTCTGCGGGGTGGCGCCTGAGTCGACCCTGGACGTGAACCCGAGGCTTGTGAGCGAGGCGATCCTGCGCGACCCCGCCCCGTCGCGGCCCCCCGCTGCGAACCCGGGCAGCGACAGCGACAAGGAGGCGGCTGCGGAGGAGAAGTCCCACACCTGCGAGGAGGCGGCAGCAGCATTGACCACAAAAGGAGCCGTGAAGGGGATTGAGATGCATTTTGTGGTGGGCGGCGTGGGGGTGCGGGAGGTGGAGGTGACCGTGGTGCTTTCCTTTAGCGGCCTCCGGTGCTACGTCACCCGCTACGAGGTCCGCGCCTGCCCAGACACGCGGACGCACGTTTTGCTCGACCACGACACGGGCGAGAAGACGATTGTGTCCTGACCCTTCCCCCACCACCACCACCATCTGTATGTGCAGTATACAATATATATTGCGTCTATACATTGCAGAAGGCATGTCGTGGATGAAGTCATAAACACCACAGGGGCTCTAGCAGTGAACATTGCGTCTTGTTTTCCGCATTGTTTCTTACTTTTTCGTAGGCACTGTTTTCTGGACTCCCATCGCCTGAGACGATGCACCCCATCTGACCACCGTACATGGATCATGTGCTAAACGCCCGTTGAAGATTTGTATTGGTCTTTGCTTTCATTCCTGTTTTTTTTTTGTGTGTGTGTGTGTGCCAATCGTTATTATCTGACCCCACTAGGTGCATGCACGTCCCTGTGTGCGTGGGGGAGAGAGAGGACTTCTTTTATACGTTTGCCGTGTTGCGTGCTTCGAGGCGCGTGTGTGATGCTCTTTCTGGGTGCACGTGTCAAGGGCGGCTGGAGTGTCTTCCTTTTCGTTCTCCCTCCCTGCACGTATTATTGCTGTTTTTTTTTTCCTTTTCTTATTGTAGAGGGCGGGGGGTTCTCTGCCCTTTCCACTTTTTTTTCCTGCCTGCACGGAACTTGCACGTCTCCACCCATTTCAATCCTCTCTTCCTTCTTCTCTATTTAACCTCTTTTCTCGCGTGGGTTGGGGCAACAGCAGTAAGAAGAGTATTCTTAGGCGGCCGTGCGAAAAGAAAATAAAGAAACATAGAAGGAGGAGGGGCCTCATATACACAGATAAGTGCATTCAATATCTTTGTATTCCTTTGCAGAGAATACAGGGGCGCAAAAACCTTTGTTTGTTTTTTGGTGTCCGTGCGGGGGTGGGGGGTTAGCGAGGAAGGGTGGTAGAGCGGCGGCGGCAACTCAAGGGCAAAGGAGGCTTCTGCTTGTGGGGCGCCCTGCCTTTTCTGGGGAGAAACTCTTTTCTCTTTCCTTTTTGTTGCTGCTTGGCTTCACGACTTTTCCCTCCTCACTCCTTTTCCTCTTATTTATTTCATTTTGTTTTATTTTTACTTGCGTTTGTGTGTCTCTTTAGTGGGCAGTTCTTCGCCTCGGTTCCTTCAGGCGTCTGTGCGGGGTGTTGTCGGTCGTGCTGCTGCTCGGCCTGCGTCTGCCTGTGGTGGAGGGTCGCGCTCCGTCCCGACTTGCGTGCCGGCGCCGCTGCGGGGGGACTCGCAGGGGCCACCGTGGTAAGCAAAAGCCGGTGAGGGAACTCACGAGGAGGTGCAGTGAGGCCCAGGCGTGCGACCCGGCTGTCTGCGTCTCTGCGCCTTTGCTCGGTCAACGGCGCACACCACACTTGCCTTCCGACAGAGAAACTTCCCCGCCCAGCCCCGCAGGAAGCGTAGGGAAAAAAGAAAAGTCAAACATTCTTGCGTCTGTGTGTATAAGTATACATAAAGGAGGGGGGTTTGGGGAATTTCGCGCTTTGGATTTCTCTCGCCGTCCGCGTCCTTCCTCCGTGCTGAGGTCTCCCGCGTGTCGCTGCCGCAGTCCCCCCGCCGACGCTTACCACCTCTTGCCGCGCCGAGAGCGTGGGTGAAGTGAAGTTGGTGGGCGAGCACAAAGAGGAGGAGGCCCCCGATTTGTTCTTGTTGTTGTTGTTTTTTTTGGTTGACATTTGTTTTGTGAAGCGCCGGCGAGGGCGTCTCTTTGCGTGTGTGTGTGTGTGTGTCTTGCTCAACTGTTGGCGGGCGAAACGCAAAGTAGGGGAGGCGAAGTAGAGGAGATGAGCCACGACGCCGCGTCTTTCTTTCGTGGCATTTCTGCCAGGCTTAGTGCGGCGCGACAGTCGTATAGTGGCAGTAGAACGCGGCGGCGCGCGGAGGAGGAGGAGGATGAGCCGCAGCAGCCCATCGCTTCGCCGTCGCCGTCGACGATATCGTCGCCGCCAACGGCGCAGTCCACGACTGGCGTGGAGGGGGCAGTGGACGAAAACGCGGTGGCGAATTTCGTCGGGGCCGCCCTCGCCGTCTCCAGGAGCCCCGGCGTGTCCGCCTCTGCGCCCGCGATGGACGCCGCCGGGCTCTCCGTGCAGAGTCTGCAGATTAGTGGCATGTTCATGACGCAGGTGCAGCAGGGGCCGGGACCGCTGCGGGGGCGTGGCCCGGCGCTGGCGGATGCCCTTCTCCCGGGCGCTGGTAGTGACGCCATTGCCTACGCCAACGGGACTTCCTCTGGCGCCGGTGGTGCGACGGACGACAACGAGGAGGGTAATGGCTGCAACAGCAGCAACAACATCGTTAGCGGCGGCGGCGGCGGCGGCAACGAGGGCGAGAAAAAGTTGCAGCTGTACGAGTTTGTGGTGCGGCGAAAGAAGATAAAAAATATGCCAACAAACACGTCACCTGTCGTCGCCAGGAATCACCCCTCGCTGCTCCCGCCGCAGTTGCAGCTGCATAGCGGGAAGAAGACGCTTATTTTGGACCTTGATGAGACGCTTGTGCACAGCTCGCTCATACACCAACCGAGACATCATGACTTGGTGCTCAACATCGCAGTGGACACCACTGCGACCACCGTGTATGTGGCGTACCGCCCTTTTCTAAAGCAGTTTCTGAAGTTTATCGCAGAGCATTTTGAGGTGGTTGTCTTCACGGCATCGATGTCCAAGTACTGCAACCCCGTCATGGATGCCGTGGACCCAGAAGGAGTATTGGGCTCTCTGCGACTCTACCGTGAGCACTGCAGCATGTTAAACGGGGCATTCGTGAAGGATCTCTCACTGCTCGGGCGAGACTTGGATAAGACGGCTATTCTGGATAACAGCCCGGTGACGTATTTATTCCAGCAGCGGAACGCCATCCCTATCCCCTCATGGTTCGACGATCCCAACGACACCGAGTTGAAGCGGCTGCTACCGATCTTGGAGGCCCTTGCCAAGGCGGGCAACGTGTATGATGTTTTGGACGACTACAACGCGGTACTGCAGCTGAAACAGGAGCAGATGCGGGCTGAGAATAATTAATTGACGATGCGACATGTTTCAAACATTCTCTACTCGCCCCTTTCTTCTTTTTTGTTCATGTGTTTTTCGCTCTTCTTGTTCTTCTTTTTGCCCTTATTTTGAATCTGGCTCTGTGCTTTTCCTATTCTTCTTTGTTGCTTGTCTGTTTTCCCTCGTGTTTTGTCCGACTTATCTGCGCTTATATTATATATATATATAATATGCGTGTGAGTGTGTGTGTGTGTGTCTGTGTCTGTGTGGTTTGATCCGCGTTTGTGTGTTGTTGATCTTGTGTTCTCGTGTCCCGCCTCTGGCTCTGTGGGTTGTTTGCAAACCCAAATTGCCGCGGCCAGAGCGGAGGGGAAAAGATGGGAGGGGGGAACAGTGAGTGAAGAGGCAGAAGGGTGCGTGCGTGCGTGCGTTTGCACCGCACAAGTGCGTCTCTGTGTATCATTTATGTTGGTGTTTTTCCTGCTTTGATGTATGTATTTACGTACACACTTGTACGCATTTCTGTTTTCGTGGCTGTGCCTGTGCGGGCCCCTTTGAAGGTTGTCTTCGAGCAAACATGTGCGGTGCGGCCCTCCCCGCAAACGTGGCGGCAGGTGTGCCTTGCACCCTCTCGAGAAGTGCGAGGGAGAGCAAAAGGGAAGAAACGCAACCGCCAAATCGAAGCTGTTGATGCATGTGCCGGCGGACATGTGGAGGCTTTTGTTGTTATTATTGGTAATGTTTCTTGTTCGGAATGTGTGAGTGGAGTGGCTGGGGCTTGTGTTGCGTTTCTCTCGCTCTGTCCCTGACCGACTCGCCCACTCATCCGTCGTAAACACATGCAAAGGTTTTCCGTGGTGGGTTTACATGTTGTTGTTTTTTCTGTGTGTGCGCGTGTGTGTAGGGGGGCGGGGCGGGGTGGGGCCTCTGCGCCTCCTCTCCATGCACTTCTGCGCACGCACGAACATGTCTGCTTACACTTCTTCTTTTTTTTTTATTCGTGTGTTTGTTTGTTTGTTTTGCCGCTTGCGCCTTCTTCTTCTTCCCCGCGTAAAGTCACCTCCGCCTGCTCCCACGACGACGACGACGCCGCCTTCCGCCCCCCCGTCCGCACACACGCGTGGCGCCGTGCCTGCGGAGGGCCCGGTGTACTTTGCTGCCCCCTCCCCCCAACTGCGCCCGCCGCCCCACGACCGCCTCGCTTGTTGAACGCCTCTGCCCTCTGCCCTCTCTCTCTCTCTCACACGGAAGAAGGGAAGGTGGTCGCGGGGCCAGACCCAGCACCAAATCACAAAGCAAACACTTTCGTCCAAGTCGTCTTCACCCACAGACGCGGAGGAGAGGGGGGGAGGAGGGGGAAAAAAAAAGAAGAGGGAAATAAAATACGCGCGGGGGCATCGAAGAACATACGAGAGAAAACAAGGCAAAAACGGGAAAAGAAGTCAGATTTGCATTAACGCACCTCTTGTGAATGCGTCGTTTCATGCCACCACTCACCGCCGCACTGCTGCGCCAGCAGGACGACCTGTGCAGCGCCGCCGTGCTCGCGCTGCTGCGTGACAAGGAGAGCTTCAAGCGCCTGGCGGCAAGTGAGGGAGAGGCGATTATGCGCCGTGACAAGGAGGACGAAGCCAAGTTGGCGGTGGGCATTGAGATCGCGAGGGCCAAAGGAATTCTCCGCGGAGATACAGACGTCGCCAAGCCCGTGCAGGTTCGCGTGGCTGGCAGGACGGCGCAACAGGTGGCAGAGGAGGTCCTGCGTCACCTGCCAGGCAGGGAGGGGAACATCATTGTCATTCAGGGGCTTTCAGGCACGGGCAAAGGCACTACCGTGGGGAAGCTGCAGAAGCTGCTGCCGCGGTGTGTCGCGTGGAGCAACGGTAACGTGTTCCGCAGCTACACATACTTGGCCCTCGAGGCGCTGAAGGGAGAGCCTATACGGGAGGAGCTGCTCACGCCGGAGCTGCTCTCCAAGGTGGAGAAGCAGGTGACCTTCGAGCAGATGAAGGACGGTGGGTTTGACATTGTGCTCAAGGGAACCATGCGCGTGGCCGACATCCAGAACACGCTGCTAAAGACGCCCGAGATAAGCCGTGTGGTGCCCACGGTGGCGCAGCAGACGCAGGGGGAGGTGATACGCTTTGCGAACATGGCCATCGGGAAGCTCAGTCGCGCCGGCTACAACGTCGTCCTGGAAGGCCGTGCGCAGACGCTCAACAACATTCACACGCCACTCCGCTTCGAACTTGTGATGGACGACGCCACGTTGCTCGGCGAGCGTCGCGCGGCTCAGCGCGTCATGGCAAAGGCGCTTTCGGGCATAAAGGACCGCCCGGATGAGGCCACGAACGACATGGTGGAGGAAACCATTCTGAAGGCGCTAGACGAGCTGTAAGGGGCAAAAACGATGCAGGATCCATCTGGGAGTCCTACTCCGCCCGGTGTGATGTGCAGAGTAACAGTGATAACATGAAGGTCGCTCTTTTAGTTCTTACTACTATTAGTGCTAACACCTTACGCAAGTGCTCCAATAGCCAGTTGAATGGAAGATAAGTGTAATTTTTGTTTTTTTCTATGCGTATTCTTTTTTTTTTGTCTTGGGCCCTGTCTGAAGCTTCACCTTTGTGTGTGCACATATATGCACTGCATGCACGTGCACTTCGCTCTGTGCATCACTCTCTCTCTCATGTATGCATCTGTGTCTCTGTGTGCGTGCGTATGTGTGGCGCTAGCGTCGACGGTGTGGGTAAAATAATGAGAAGTGAAAAAAAATTTCTGTTCTCTGCGGTGCATTGTCTGCTTTCTTGCCTGTGGGGGATGTTTCTCTCTGCCTGGCTCTCCACGCGCGTTTACACGCACACACACACACACACATCTTCTTGCGTGCTGCCGTTGCGGGGCTCTGAATAGGAAAAAAGAAGGAAGGAGCATCACACACAGGCACACACACATACACTAAAAAAAAAAACGCTTTTGTGTGGAAAGGGAGAGGAACGCACTGAGAAGAAATGATGTCGACGGCAAGCAAAATTCTAACGGCATTGCGTGAGGCGATGCGGCAGCACTCCCTCAGCGCCCTCATTGTCCCCTCCAGTGACCCTCACAACAGCGAGTACGTGAAAGAGGAGTACAAGTGCCGCGCCTACATCACAAACTTTAAGGGAAGCGCTGGCACGTGCCTTGTGACTATGGCCGAGGCCTACCTCTGGACGGACGGCCGCTATTGGCTTGAGGCCTCGCAAACCCTTTACCCGGAGTGGACGCTGATGAAGGACGGTCACCCGGGTGTGCCAACGCTGGAGGCCTGGATTGAGTTGAATCTCGGCTCCGCCGCGCCGGTGGGGATGAACAGTTGCCTGGCGACTGTAGCCGAGTGGGAGCGGCGACGCAAGACGATCAACCTGCTCTCCGTGCCGGATCTGGTGCAGCCGCTGATGCCGCCGGTGGAGCGCCCCCCCGCAAAAATATACGCCCGTCCGGACGAGTTCTGCGGCCTCTGTTGCGAGGAAAAGGTGGCGGCGTTGGTGAAGGAGATGGAGCGGCAGAAGTGCGACGCCGTGGTGCTCTCGGCGCTGGACGAGGTTGCTTGGCTGACCAACCTGCGGGGCTCGGAGGTGCCCTTTAACCCCGTGTTCTACGCCTACGGCGTGGTGCAGCGCGGGGCTGCTCCCGCCGTGCACCTCTTCTTGGACGCCGACGTGGGCGAGGTGAAGGGGTCGGCGCTGCAGTTCCACCCGTACAACGCGCTGGAGTCGCATCTCCGTGCCCTTCCGACGGGCACCACCTTCCTTGTTGACGAGTACCAGACGAGTCAGTGGCTCTTCGCGCTGCTGGAGTCGGCGGGGATGCAGGTAAAACGGGTAAAGTGCGGACCGGCACAGACGTTAAAGGCCGTCAAGAATGCGGTGGAGATTGCGGGGTTCCGCCGCTGCCACGTACGCGACGGGGTGGCTCTTACACGCTACTTGGCGTGGCTCTACGACACGGTGGCTGTGAAGGAAGACACGGGCGTTACCGAGGCCAGCGGCGCGCAAAGGCTGGAGGCCTTCCGGCGAGAGGGGGAACACTTTGTGCAGCTAAGTTTTCCCACCATCTCCTCTGTCGGCCCCAACGCGGCGATTGTGCACTACGCCCCACCGCCTGAGGGCTCCGCCACGATTGTGTCAAACCAGCTGTACCTTGTTGACAGTGGGGCGCAGTACCTGGACGGCACTACAGACGTCACTCGGACGGTTTGTTTCACGAAGCCACGCGAGGAGGAGCGGGAGGCGTACACGCTCGTTCTTAAAGGGAACCTCGCCCTCCACCGCGCCGTGTGGCCTACCGACACCAGCGGCCACCGTCTCGACGTGCTTGCGCGCGCTGCGTTGTGGCAATGTGGGCTGAATTATGCACACGGCACCGGTCACGGGGTGGGCTCGTTTTTGAACGTGCATGAGGGCCCGCAGGGCATCGGCATTCGCCCGACGCCGACGGAGGCGACGCTGGCGGCAGGCATGGTGGTGTCGAATGAGCCCGGGTACTACAAGGACGGGGCGTTTGGCATCCGCATAGAGAACCTCGAGGTCGTCGTGCCGGCCGCCACGAAGCACAGCAAGGAGGGGTTCCTGACATTTGACACACTCACCATGGTGCCGTTGTGCCGCGAACTCATTGACGCGGCGGCCCTGACGGAGGCGGAGCGGCAGCAGGTTGACGCCTACCACAAAAAAGTGCGGGAAACGCTTTTACCGCACCTCCGCCGCTGCAACGACAGCTGCGCCATCGCCTACTTGGAGCACCACACAGCGCCGCTCTAGCCAAAGGAGCCGTCGGTGCTCGTGGAGGACGTGATGGGAGATGGGCCGTTATCTGCCATGGACTGTCATGCCCGCTCAATTCCTTTTGTTGGTTTTATATTTCTCTCTCTTTTGGTCCGTCTATCGCCCTGGGGCTCCTCTTACTATCGCTTTTTTTCTGGGGGGGGTGCCGGCAACGGATGCGGCAAAAGCGGCAGGTAGAAGAAAAAAAAAGCGAGAGAGCGGGCGAGACAAACCGCGGAGGAAGTTGCACGAGGGAACAAAACTCTTTTTTTTTTTTTTTATTGTCGGGGGGATGATCCCCGTCCGCCCTGTTGTTTTTTGCGGCGGCGTGTGGAGGGGCTCGGCGGTCAGAGGAAGCCAAAGTAGTGCGTCGGCGGTGGGTCTTTTTGTTGTTGTCGTTCCCGCATCTCTGCCGATGACTTGAATTCCCGTTTGTTAGAAAAAAATTTGTCAGCTTTTGTGTGCGTGTTTGTGTGGGTGCGTGTACGCGTGTGTTGGGCGACTCCCAGTTAGGCCGGGAGGCGGTTGGCCGCACGCATTTAGCCAAAACATTCAGTTCCCACTGTTGTATTATTTATTCATTTCTTGTTGTATGCGTGGGCGTGTGCGGCGGCGTACTTGCGAGTGGAGGGGGTGGGGGAAAGAAAAAATTGTCTCATCCACGCAGCCTGAGAATCTGCGCAGCTCCCGCAGAGAAGGGCACAAGGCGGATGTCTGAGGAGGGGGGACGTTGTGCCTTGCCTGGTCTTGTGGCCGCAAGCTGTTTTTTTTGTCTTTTGCTTTTGCTCTTCTCTCTCTCGCTCTCTCGCTATTGCGCTGTGTGCGCAGTAGGACCGACAGGAGACCCGCAATGTCGCTTTTTGGCAAAAAGACGTGGCGTCTGCAGGACGTCGTGCGCATCGACGGGGCGCAGGAGGTTGTGAGCGTCCTGAAGATCACCCACCCGTTCCGCAGGCAGCGCATCGTCGTCGTGCCCGCCCTCCGCTACGCGAAGGAGTCGTACTACAACGACTGGGTCTACCAGCCCTACGCAAAGGAGCACCGCATGTTCGTGAGCAACGACATATTCAACCCCACCTACGTTTACCTCGCCCGCATCCTCATCCGCCGCGGCTTCTTCCCCGGCTACGCCTACTTCCACCCCATGGGATTTCCGGACTGCATCGACCTCAACCTCACCCGGCGTGAGTTCATCGCGCGGGAGCAGCCGCTGAAGACGCCCATGCCGCTGATACTGCTCACGCCAAACGCGTTTCGCGTGAAGCGTCATCCCTGGATCGCCCGCAGGGTCATCGCGATTGTGGGCGAGCAGTACGTCACCCACCCACGTGAGGAGCATCAGTCGATGTTGTTTGTGCTCCCGCCGGAGTACATCCCGGACGCGGTCAACACGCTGCAGAGCCTCGGGTTTCAGGTAACCGACCACACCGCTGCCGTCGCGGGCGAGGCGGCGACGCTCCACAAGCTGAATCGCTGGAGCAACATTGCACAGCTGGTGGCGCTGGGCTACGTGTGGTTCATGATTGCCCTCTTTGTCATGAATGAGTCACGGCGCGTGCAGACGATGTTTCACGAATACAAGCGGGAGATGGTGGTGAAGGCCGGAAAGGACCCTGAAGAAATGGGCCTGTAGAGCTTCTCCCACCCCCTCCCCTGCTGCCGTGCACAGCAAGCACGGACAATACGAGGCGTAGCAGCATTCCATGCCGCTGCCGGCGAGGGAGCCTCTCGGCGGTGGGTGGCCTTCCCTTCCCCTCTTCTTCACCTACACTCGCAGAGCGAGAGAGAGAGAGAGACGGGGGACGGACGGAGCGGACGCGTCGTTGATGGCTTTTTATAACGGCGTGTTGTTTGGAGTCCACTCCCCTTTCTTCCTTGTTCTTGGTGCTCCTCCTGCGGAGACGCTGTGGTGTTGCGCATTGGCGCTGGCGAGTTGTGTTTGCCCCTTGTGTGCCCCGCCCCGCCTCTGCCTGCCATCCCTCACTCCTCCTCTCGCGTGTGTGTGTTTCCTTCTGCGGTGCCGCTTGCATGCGTGCGTGGATGTTCTTTCGCTGCTCCCTCCCTCTCTCTTTTTTTTGATTTCTCCATCTCCTTTCTTTTGCTGGGCGTCCGATCGTCCGCTGCTGCCTTCCTGGACACCGTGCAGGGGAATTTGCGAAAGAAAAAAAGAAAA